CCACTCAAGCCGTACAAAAATCGAAGCGTCTACTACCAGTGGGAGTTGGCGCTGTAGTGTGAAAGCTATGTCGCCGGGGATGCGTTCGAGGAATTGAACTGTTGGTGGACGTTCGACGATCGGTCCACCATTCTGGGTTCGACTTGACATTCGGCAAGATGAGGTGTGGGTGAGGTGCCGGTACAGCTGCTGCAGCAAGCTTCCCGGCCGCGCACAGCGAATGCAGGCGCTGAACTGATTCATCACGCTAGCAGCCTGCAGCGATGACGTGTGCCAAGGTCGAGTGCTCCCACAGCGTTCAGCTGGTGCCTTAGATTCTTGGCCGTTGCATTTAATTTCTGCCCGATTTTGGATTGGCTCACGTTCTATAAGTGCAAAGCAACGCAAAGTGTGGCAAGGGGGAGCTGCAACGGCGCATCCATGTCAATTTGCCACATCATGAAGACACTCGGTGGGTGATAGCCAGCTGGGTGATAGCTACGCTTTTCATATTATAAAAAGTGTCGAGATTAGCAACTAGTTGAAAGCTAGGGGCTCACACAGGCTTCGCGCACGGACGGCCGTGACGGCGTTTCGTCCTCGTCGAGCATCTCTCGTCAACGAGTGGATGACGAGACTTCGGGATATCATTTGGACCAATCAAATGCATTGTTATTGAAGTGAGTATATTCAGAGAAAATTTACACTCAACTGATTTTGGTGCTCGACGGCTGCAGCGGCGAGGCTTGGCCGTGTTGAAGGCGAGGCGCACTAGTATGGATGGCGCAAGCGGGGACGAGGTGGTCACGAAGCCAGGCGTCGTGGCGCAGGGCGTGCATCATGTGGAAGAGGCACATCGTTTGGGTATTCAGCATCAAGTGGTGAAGATGTAGCTTGGTCAAGAACGTGGTGCGGGTAGCGGCCGCTTCGGGCGTCACGGCGGGCGCCTCGGGACGGAAAACACGGTCTTTTCGGGCGAGCCAGACACTGTGCAGCACACAGGCTCGTAGGATCGGCCTCATCATGTCGACCGCGCGTCGGCGGTAGTGGTAAGCCGTCACCAGCGGCTCAAACAAGAGCGCGTATAGCGTCGTGCGGAGTTCCAGTTCCAGCGCACTTCGTAGCGGAGCAGTAAGTGCTCGTACGTCTCGGCAGCACCACAGACCAGACAACCTTGGGCGTCTTCACCCAGGAAGTTAAGCCGGGTGCGGACTGCGATGGTGCCCAGCACGATGCTCTACATGAAGTCAGCGTAGCGCGGCAGGGCGTGGTCGGGCCGCGTGGGAAGGAGGCAGGTG